GTCGACTACGTGGGAGTCCAGCGACATAGCCATTATGCTAACTGCTGGTTCCCAAAATTATAATATTTTTAAACTCATTTATTAAAGAGAAGGAAAAAATAAAATGCAAATATAGCATGTGAAATACACATCTATAACACAAAAGCACACACAGGTAGAGAGAGAGAGATTAAAAAAATTAAAAAGCCTCTAAATACTAGGCCTCCCCTGAAAGAGGACAATTTTTCTATATTTCCAAATGTTAGTTTCACTATTCATGCTGAAATCCACAAATATTTCCAGACCTTTGACACATGTGGAATAGCTAAGTGGAATCTGGAATCGATGGGTTCAGTTCTTGTCTCCCCTAGTTATTAACTGTGTGAGCTTAGGCAATTCATTTAGCACAGAATACATATTCACTGCTATTGTTTTGTGTTTGTTGTTGTTATCCCCAATGGAAAGCAAATGGAAAGCAATTTTAATATCATATTGCAAGCTCTTATAATAGAAAAGAAGTCCAAAGGAAAAGGTTGGAAAAGAACAAAGAGTGTTTTAAAATTAATTAAAAAACAAACAAACAAACAAACCACCTCTGTGAACCTGGTAATAAGAAAAGCAAAAAAGACAATGACAGCAGCCTCTCGGTTTGTCTTCATCCTTTGCCTTCTGCAATTGTAAAAATTAACAAAAAATCAGAACTGTCAAGCGTACCTGGTGGGTTTAGCTGCCCATCACATGTGTCCTACCTTGTCCCTTCCAAACTGATGTTAAGCAGTTAGCCAGGACGTATCAGAAACTTCAAGTGTAAAGAAGGAATACTTTGCCATCAGATTCGGGGTACTTACTGTCATCCCATCTTTTTCTGGTTTCTCTAAAATTGCTGTAATTCCCTGCAAACCATTCCACTCCCCCCTCCCAAAGAAAAAAGAAAAAAAACCCACACACAGAGATGAATCTAAAGCACACAGACACTAACACAGTGCTTACCTTCTTTCAGCATGCCCACTTTTAAACACTTCATGAAGCGGCAAGCCTGGCAGGATTTACGTCTGCGCTTTGTGATCTCACATTCATTTGTGGCAGGGCAGCTATATTCTATATTACCTAAAACACAGAGGTTGGAGAAAAGAAGCTGTTAGGTTGACCCAGGATATACTGGCACCCCAAAGGCAATGTACCTCTGTTCGTCCTGCACCATCGTCCCCAAAAAGTCACATGAGATTCACAAGGAATGGCAGAAATGAATGATGCTGGGTGCTCTGCTACACCCAGCAAAGGTGCACCAAACAACGAGAAGGCAGATGGTGAAGCTCTTCAAAAGATTAAGCTTAAAATGAGCCTTTAAACATTATGCTTAGTCTGTTCATGTAAAGTAACGGTCTTCCTGAATCTTAGGATGCAAAGGCAATTTTCAGAGTAGATTATGTTCATAAAAAGATAAACATCAAAACTGGATTTTTGTATTATCAGTCCCGGATACCTTTTGGTTACTAATGCTTTGGTGCATCAGGCTTACTGTCTTTCTGCCTCTGAACGACATACACCTCACTGGGAAAAAGGATGAGCAGGCTAATTTGCGACTCAGGTAAACTCTTAACAGGCGAGGACCAAGATGACATAGTTCTTGCTACAACACATACCAGAGCCTTACAACACAGTTCTGTGCTTGGAAAATGCTTATGGGTGAGGATAATGCTGACGACAATGGTCATCATCATGTGTTACCTTATTTGCATACTTAATGCCAAACACTCAAGCTCCATGAACCTGTTACAAATCAGACTAAACTCTTATGAAATTGTATTTTTCCTACTGGACTTTATATCATTAATAGTGATACCTGCATATTTGAAATAACTAGAAGACTCAAACTTTAAACTTCTCCAATTAGTGACAATGACAGGGTGTAGGATGTGCTCTGGGGCTGCCTACAGCTTGGTAAAGAAGCTGCCTTTAAAATAAAGCCTCTCTCCCCTATCAGCTCTGTCACAGAGTGCTTGAAGGTCTTTCCTTACTTCCTAACCCTTTCCCCTGGTGATTAAGTGCATTAGTATCTTAATGAAAATGCATTCTGTTTATTGCCCTCTTGGGAAGGGGGAGGTCATCACACCCAATGCATAAATTGTCATCAGAGACGGTCCGAGCATAATTGCAATTTTGCTGCTCTGTGTTCGCAATAGTCAGGGTCCATCCAAGTCCCCTGAAACCTGCGCAGATTCTAGTAATTAGCATAGAGTCTGCCTGGGACCACAGCATTGATGAAATATTTCAGAGTTAATCACACTTTGTAAACACTGATTTATATTGACTACCTTTCTCCAGACTGATGTCTCCTCATTAAATATCACATTAGTGGATTGCAGGATTGTACCAAGACTCAACTACTCAGCAACTGCTAATTCACCAGGAAGTAACGCCAACCACTTCTAACTACTGACGATTGGGTAAGTATGGATGCCTTAAACATGTTTTTTTGAAAGGCTCTACTTTATAATTTGAGAGAAGCCTAGCACAACGGTTTCACTAAATTAGGATTTGTAATTCCAGTAACTTAGTAAGAAAAGCAACTAAGTGTTAAACAAGAGGTGAAGTAATAACAGTAATATTAATTGCATCAGCAGCAGCCACCATTACCTTCCTCAAATATTGCTGATGCTACACGCACAGTAAATCAAAGATGAGGCAAAGGACTCAGCCTGGTTGGGTCATGGCTGACAACAAAAGGATACAGAATCTGCACTACACATGAACCACTCTTCTCTGCCGTTGCTTTATCCTTGAAAATGTATTTTGCACCAAAAGAGTATTGGTAATCATTTTCTAGAGGTTGATTAGTATTCTACTACTAGATCCTCTCCCTCCAGATGGACCTCTCTATACTTATTTTAAAAGGATCTGTGGCCGGATCCATGCTCCGGCCTTAGCAGGATGTTCAGATGATGCCAGGTCCCTTTGGGAGATCACGGGTTTGGTTTCCTTGTCAGCCTTTATGTTCTGGGAGCTCATGATCCTGCTAGCAGAGAATACTGTGAAAGAAGGGATTGTGGGGGCCAGCAGGTGGCATGGTGGTTAAGGGTGCTGGACTCCCATATGGCCGACTACAGTTTGAGTCCCAGATTGGTGGCTCGCTTTCTCATTTTTTTTCTCTCTCTCTCTTCTTCCCTGCTCCCTCCCTTTCTGGTCAAATTAAAATAAATAAATAAATAAAGTTAAATAAAATAATTCTTTGGAAAAAAAGAGGGAGTGTGGTGTGAGACCCTGTGGAAGGTATATTTGTACACGTGTGCTCTCTCTCTCACAAGAGAAGTACATTTTAAAAAGAAAGAAGAAAGGAAAGATGCTCAGGCCATTGTTTCTTTAGGAAGGATCTAACAATGACTGGTTAGAGGATGAGAAGAAACAAGGAACAGCAGTTGGTGTAATAGCTATGTTGCTGAACTCCCATGTAGCCCACCGCGGTTTGATTCCCGGACCCGGTGGCTTAAACTCACGCTGGGCACGTGTGTGTGCATGCCCAAGATCCCGAGAGGAGAATGGAGGAGAAGGGATTGCAGTGTTGCTATCCCCCCTGGGGGGTGATTTCTCGCTTTCTGTCTCTGTCTTTCTGGGGAGCGCACACGCCCTATAGCAAAAACCTCTCAAATAAACAAAAGAGTCTTAAAAAGAAAAAGAAAAAAGAAGGATTAGGAGAAACAACTGTTTGTCAAACACCATTATCTTTCCTTTCTCCTACAGAAAAATCAGCATGAAGTAATACATGCTCACTTTCCCACACTAAGGCACAAACACTAGCCTGAGACCTTTAACCCAGTACTGGAAACTTCTACAGGGATGAACTACCACCACAAACAAATATAATTATCTTTATTTCAGACTTTTTCTCTTTAAAAAATTGTACCTTTTGGTAGCTAGTGATGAATTGGTAAAATGCAATGCTCAGTGAGGACAAGGCTGAGCAGAATGGGAAAGTTGCATGTTCCAGGCCACAGACCTGAGACCTCTATGCCCACAATCTGGAGCTGAGTGAAGCTAGGGGTAGATCATGGTACCGGGACCCTGCCGAAGGTACTATCCCACTGTCTCTCTCTTATTCATGAAAGAAGTTAACATACTTTAAAAAGATTATATTGCCGAGCTAGCAGGTGGCATGGTGGTTAAGGGACTGGACTTCTATTTGCCCAAACGTGGTTCAAGTCCTGGACTCAGAGGCTTGCTTTCTCACTCTCTCTCTCTCTCTGTTGAGTGCGCATGTTCTATAGAAAATTTTAAAGTAATGATAATAGAATATAGTGGTATACACTGCACCATTTATTTCTCAAAAATCTTTATTACAAAAAAAAAAAAAGATATTGTATTGCCATCCTTCACATCAGCACACTTTGAACAGGAACATGAATCGGGCGTGTGTGTCTCCTACCTAGATGGTGACTCTGCTTTGACCATGTCACTACCCTAATTAAAAACAAAATAATTCCTGTGCCCTCCTGAATTAAATATAAAATATCAGTCCAGCAAACGAGATCTTTTTCAGGCTAACTCTCCTCTACCTCCCCAACAATATTACAATTTTTACCTTGCATGAACTTTCAGATGAAGCCAATTCAATTTATTCATTTTTTTTTTTTACTAAGTGTCCTTGAGACTTTCCTCTGAGAATGATCTAGCTTTGCCCCTCTTTTCTTCTTAAAATTATTTCCAAGACTCAGTGTTCAGCTCCAAGTCCATGAAATTCTTTCACAAAAAAACTTCTCAGACCATCCTAACAGAAAATAATTTCTTGGTTCTCATCTCTTTCTGGGTATTCTCATGACTTACAGACAGGTCATATTTTGTTAGACATTTTTAGGTGCAAATGACCTAGTAGATGGACCAAGGACCTTCTCTTACGCAGTCTAAAATTCCTCTACCAAAAGGTAATATGTAGGACCAGCAAATGATGTAGTGGTTATATTGCTGGACTCAAGTTCAAGTTCCAGACCCAGTGGCTTGAAACTCACACTGGGTACCTGTGCATGCATGTCCAAGATCTGGGAGGAAAATGGAGAAGAAGGAATTGCAGTGTGGCCATCCCTCCTGGGGGATGATTTCTCACTTTCCCTCTCTCTGGGTTTCTCTCTCTCTCTCTCTGGGTCTCTCTCTCTCTTTCTGGCGTGCACACACTCAGGCAAAAACCTCTAAGAAGAAATAAAGGTAATATGTAGGTAAAAGAACACATGTATAATAACTTAGTGTTTCCTTGCTGTCTGAAGGTCATTACTATGAACATCAGTCATGGTGCTGTGATGCAGTAATGTCCATAGGACCAAGTGAGTTGCATGTTCCAGCAGGAGGCCCAGTCACAGTGATGGAAGGGGTAGAGTGCCGCTGTCCAAGGCTGCAACCAGAGGGAAGGCCCTGGTTCAGCTCCCAGACCAACCTAGTGAGCCCAAACATGGAATCATGTGCCTGTAATCCCAGCTAACTGGCAGCTGGGACAACTGATTGAAAAGGTGTGGTGTTGTCAACAAACCTCTCCCTTCCTCTGCATGCACTCTCTCTCTCACACTAATTTAAAAGTAACACTAAAATGCATTCCAAAAATTACCCAAAAAGGTAGAAGAAAATCTAGTAAAAATGTCAAAACCAGAAAATATAGGCTAGATACAAATTCAAAGGGGTAACGAAGGAGGAAGATCTCACCCAAAAAAAAAAAAAAAATCCAAAATATACAAATGCTTCTGGGTAGTAATGTGTTAAAAAAAAAAATCTGTAAGAGGCTTTAAAGGATAAAAGCTATATCCTGATATGAATAGGGTAAAAAAAATAGAATATATGAAATAAAAATCAATGGTACTAAAAGTGATTATTATTATTATTATTATTTTTAGGGAGAATTTTGCTATAGGGCAGGTTCACTCACCAGAGAGACAGAGGGAAATAGAAAGAAAAAAAATCACCTAGCCACACCACAATCCCTTCTCCTTCATTCTCCTCTCAGGAATTTGGGCGCACATACACACGTGCCTGGTTGGAGTTTTAAGCCATTGGGTTCAGGACCTGAGTCACATTCGACTATGTGGGAGTCCAGGATGGTACCCATTACACCATCTGCTGGTCCCAAGTTT